AGATGCATGATATGTGTTCGGTGTAGAATGAATCCTCAATGGCTGATAAAGTTGATCCGGTGTCAAATATATTTGGTATTTTTCTACCATTTAAAATATCTCGGTCTAAGGAGGTGCTCCAAAAAATGCAGTTGATATTTTATTTTGAAATTACTTGCCACTGGACAGGAAAAGTAATCTTCTATTTCAGCATAATGCTCAGCTGGTACCTCTAGTAGGGTTCCTGTCGTAAAAGTGTTGTCATATGAGTGGTCCAATCTAAATAGAGTCCTAACATCTTGTGTCTTTTTCCCCCCTCTTTCATCTACATTAAACTACTGTTTTTATAATTAATCATCATTGTTGGTTGGTCAATTGGTATTATTGAGCTCTATCTAAGTTGAAGCTACTATTTAATTCCTGTTCTTGTTCCTTGTTTAAAAACATGATGTGTAAACTTTTGACCATTCCTGTGAACTCATTACAGTCTGTCAGTATGGTTTGTTGTTGTAGTAAACTCGTTCTTTCCTAATCCCTGACTAATCCAATATACATGATATATGTCAATTAATTTCGTGATACATGTAAAATCATCATCCTCTCTTTACTTACTCTGATCAACTCTTTAAGAAGCTAATCCTTGACTAGTAGTAATATTGTACTGTACTATACCTTCATTTATAACCCTCAATCCTTTAAAAAAAAACTTTTGTGATCATTTTAAAAGGGATTTTCTTATGGACAAACTCTTTTGCTGCCTGCTTTACAAAAAAATAATGTTTTTTGTATACTGATTTAATCATAATTAATTCATTTTTAATGTCATACTGACCTTAGCAGTTTTCTTTTCTTTTAACCAATACATCTATTCACACATGTATTCGGTTCTTGAATTTTTGGTCCATAGATCAGTGTAGATTCAAATGCCTGGAATATTTGATAATAAATATGATGAATGAGTAACAATTGGTTGTAAAGTAACAAATAATTAATTTCATTTAGTAATTTTTTATAAAAAAAATATCATGAATATCTGATCACACAAATGACAAGTATAAATAAATAAAATGTGTCTTTACCATGAGGTCAGAAGTCCTAGAGTTAACATATCGTTATTCATTTGTAGAAATATCAAATGGAATAAATTGGGAAAGTATCATTTCAATTAAATCCCTTTTATTAGTTTTAACCGTGGATCAGTGTATTTGTGTGTGAGCTCTGGGTACAAAACTTCAAATCTATTGGTCACAATTTTCAGTGAAAGTTTATAGTTATTCTAATTCTAACATATATATCCTAGGAATGAAAATGAGATATGTGCATTTAAATCTCAATATTAAATTTCTAATTTGTGGTGTGTAAATTTCTTATTCAAATTATTTGAAAAGAGGTAACATTCTGATGCCCCAGACTAGTAAATATTGATTTGGACTAGTGTAAATTTTCAAAATTTTAGTCATATAGGGACAATTTTCGATATTTAGTTTCCGGACTAGTACATGAAAAAGTTTTTGGCGCAGACTGCATTAATGAACCATGAAAATGCAGTCGAGGTCAGATGAACCCTGCCAGGCAGCCATGTGTACCTTAATAATACAATCATTCCATACATCAAATACCTTATCACTTATAGTATCTGAGAAACTGACTTAAGCAGGAAAAGTTAACATTGAATGATGAACCATGAAAATGAGGTCAAAGTAAGATGAACCCTGCCAGGCAGACATGTGCACCTTACAATCATTCCATAGATCAATTATATATGACCTTATTACTCATGTTACTGAATTGTATCTGAGAAACTGACTTGAGCAGGAAAACTAAAAATTGGCCAAGGAACCATGAAAATGTGGTCATGGTCAGATTAACACTGCCAAACTTACATGTACATCTTACAATCATGCCATAGGTCAAATTTATCTGACCTTAAGGTTTATTACTGATACCGGTACATGTAGTGTCTGAAAAACTGACTTAAGGTGGTATGGGTGTCTTCCGCCATCTTGGATTATAAAAAACACAGAACCTAAGGTCCAGATTTTCTATCAAGTTAGCAAAATTTGATGCAGGAATGCAGATATTTAATGTGAATTTCCATTTAAAAGAACCAATTTATAAGAATATACTTATGAATATTAATATTTTTACAAGTGAAGATTATTTTTCTTTTCTTTTCAATGTTTTTAAATTGGCATTTTAAGGGGAGGTAACTCTAAAACAGTGCATTTTCTGAAGGAATCTACATGGAATTTTCCTATTTTGTATTTTAGCCAGAAAAAACGTATGGTGACCCTATCTTTTCTTTTGATATTCTCAAAGCATTGTCTGAAAGCTATCTTTTCCTAATTTATTTTACAATTCTATCATTTTGTTTAGTTTCTAATCACAAAATGGTGTTTTTTCCTGTATAATCCATACAAAATGTGTCATTTTGTCACAACCTGTACATAGCTTGAGAAAATGCGCGGTGACCTATCATTTTTATTATATTTTTGAACATATATCAATAGATACTACATTTTGGCAAAGTATGAAAAAATTCTATCATTTTTATTTTAGACTCCCATACCACCTTAAGCTGGAAGACTAAACACTGACCAATGAAACATAAATTAGGCCAGTAGTTTTTCTGAATAGAATGGCGTCATATTTTTCATGTTGGGTTCCTTAACAGCTAACTATACAGTCAGTATGGGTTTTTCTCATTGTTGAAGGCTACAAAATATGATTGCCAATAAATAATTGCTTACATCCACTCATTTGAACTTTGGTGAATTATAAGCTGTCTCATTTAATAGGAATCATATCTCCTTATTTTATATTTGTGTTACAAAGAATTGTACAAATATGAGCTTGTATTTGTGACCATTTGATTCTGACAATGTCTGATGGAGGAGGGGCCTGGCAGATTCTGGAAATAAATCTTCTGTCCCCCATTATTAGTAATTAGCAAATGTTAAGTTGGAAAGAAATAATCTTGCCTTATCACAAATGAAAATAATAAGTATTCTGGCCACAAAAAAGAAAATATTATAAAAGAATTGTCTCTGTCTGCTTTCCATATAATATTCACACTTATTACTATCATGATTAATAGAATAATAGAATAGAATACAAAAAATGAATTGCTAACCACAGTCTCTGAGATCACAGCATCCAAAACTGAGCTGAATAATTACATTAAATTTAAATGCAATGATTACAATGATTGTTTAAACAATTGCAGAAATAAAAACTAAATCAAATCAAATAATATATCAAACTATTCAATTAAGAATCCGGGTCTGTTCGCGCCCAATCACGTTCGCCCCCATGCACGTTCGCCCCCTTTCACTTTTGCACCCTACACGTTCGCACCCAGAGTCCGTTCGCACCCTACACGTTCGCGCCCAATTTTTATTGGTTTTGTGTTTAATAATTTGTAAACGAGTTTTGGTAAGTGTATTGCTATAAATATATATTTTTTCATTGTTTCTAAATAAAGTGAGATTCTGACAAGGTTTTTTTTGTGTCATGGTAAATATATTGCTATAAACATTTTTTTTCATTGTTTTTAAATAAAGTGAGATTCTGACGACCAGTATTTTATTTTTGTGTTGAATAATTTTTAATCATGTTTTGGTTAGTGTATTGTTATAAATATTTGTTTTCATTGTTTCTAAATAAAGTGAGATTCTGACAACGTTTTTTGCATGTGTTGATAAAATCTTAATCATGTTTTGGTTAGTGTATTGCTTTAAATATTTCTTTTTTATTGTTTCAAAAGGAATTGGGATTATGAAAACGTTTTTTATATGTGTTGAATAATTCGTAATCATGTTTTGGATAGTGTATTGCTATAAATATTTTTTTTCATTGTTTATGAATGAAGTGGGATTCTGACACACATGGGATCAAAGGAGCCAAGCTGTTAAAAACAATTATCTTTCATGTTTTTTTATTTAAAATCTTCAAAGTTTTACTCATATCAAGCTAAATACATGCAGTATTTACATCACAGCAAGTTAAAACAACCATGACAACAATCATGATTTTTAAACACTCAACAATAACACCAAATTAGGCTGTGTATAAATACCAATTAACAGTAATCATACATAATTAACATTTAATAATTAATCATCAAATCAATTTAAAACAATATTTCATTTAAAAATTCCCGAATTTTTATTTATGAAAATAAAAATATTTTGATATAAAAATCTACAAAACATCCAAAAATTTATCAGGTTTTTTAATAATAAAAAAAAAGGGTGCGAACGTGTAGGGTGCGAACGGACCTAGGGGGCGAACGTGTGGGGTGCAAAAGTGTAGGGTGCGAACGTGTATTGGGCGCGAACGGACCCGATACCTTCAATTAAGACCAGCAATAGCAACCAGAAAAATCAACATTATTACCTCAACAAATTTAACATCACCCCCCCCCCTTTTTTCTACCACACAGGTAGTCCCCTATTTTTATAACTTTATCCTACCAAAGAGTGGGATCTCAGACTCAGTGGCGGATCCAGAAATTTTCATAAGTGGGGGCCCACTGACTGCCTAAGAAGGGGCCCGCTCCAGTCATGCTATAGTGATTCCCTATATAATCAACCAATGTTTTTCCAGAAAAGGGGCCCCTGCCCCCACCTACATGATCTAAATCCGCCTCTGGATCTGTACCATATAAGCCTGCAGGGATTTTCTACTGAAAAAAGGGATTTTCTAAGGGTACGACCATTTGGGGGGAGAGGGTTGCAGATTTTAAGTCACTTTTTAGAGTAGCAGAAAATAAATATGCTGGTCCTGGTCTGGCCACCTTCTAGTTGAAAATAAATAATAAAATATTCTGACACTCAAAGACTTTGTTTCTACATTCTGTCTTTAATTTCTGATATTAGTGCAAATTAGAAAAAAAATGGCTAAATAAAAAATGCTACTAAGTAAACAGCACTATGTTCCCAAAGGAGATAACACCTTTACATACATATCTGATTCATATTTTTTGTTTGTTTGGCCTCACCTTAATATTTTCGTCTGCACGATTTTTGTCGAACTACGTCATACCGGAAGTGAAAGATACAGCAACACGTAAAAATGTTACCAGTGAAAACGCATCTTGACCAGTTTCCAGAGTTAGATAAAGATAGATATGATAGCATCGTTAAGGAGAACGAAGAAAAGGTAATTTCTTTACAGATAGAGATATTTTATTTCCACCTTTCAATAATTTCATGCAGTTAGAATCCATTTATAACAACTCGCCCTATTGGAAAATCGCCCCACTTTTTCACCAACTCGTCCAACCTTCTAAAACATCGCCCCTCTCTTGTTCACCAACTCGCCCCACTTATGAAAAAGTGGAAAATGCGATTGCAAATAGGTCTGACAACTCATGAAATGGGTTAAGGTTCATCATCAGAAACGGACAAAAGTGGCTGTATTCACTGTTTTACACCTCAAAAATTCTTCTGTGTACAGACTTACCTGTGCAGTTTGGAAAGTTTTAAGGCCTGTCATCCATTAGATATTTGAAAGTTAAATGCATTTTGTGTTTCAGAAAGAATGAAGTCTGTGGAATATAAAAATGAAGTGACATGGCATGGTATGATTGCCAATGAGACAACTCTTCTCAAGAGACCAAATGGCACAGAAATTAGAAAGTATAGGTCACTGTAAGGCCTTCAACAATGAGGAAGTGTGTTCAAGTTGGGTTGCGTCTGCAGGCTTGAAATTGGTTTATTTGTGCTATTAACAATGATTTATAGTTCCTCCTGTGGACCCTTTAACAAAAATTGCTGTTTTCATCTCAAAATTTACTTTCAGCATGATCAGTACAAGCTAATCTGTCAATCTGGAAAAATGATATTCTAGGGCATGCATGGCATGTAATATGCCTTAAGATTTAAAATCTTAAGGCATATTACATGCCATGCATGCCCTAGAATAGATATATAAATAAAATTAAAATGTGTTTATTTTTTTTAAGAAAATTACAAACTAAAACCCAGCAATTTTAGCTCCCCCCTTTTTTACAGTGCTGCAACATATACCCCGGTAAGGTTAATGCATAGAATATTTTACATGTTCCACTCCAACATGTCCAAACATTGTGCTAGTTTCAGGGGCCTCAGGACCCCCTTTTTTGAAAATCCTGGATCTGCATCTTGAATATATATATCATGTATATTTACATGTAAGTTGACAGCTTGTGGTTAATCGTGAAGATTACATGTAACATTAAACATGATATCATATGCTGCTGATATGATTTTGGAAGTATGTAATATATACTTAAATAAAGAATTTTTCTTAAAAATAGTTGTTTTAAATTCAAACATACTTAAGTCATTGTAAGTTTCCTAGCTGAACAAACATCAATGAACATGATTGGAAAATATTTGCAACAGTTGAACAGATAAATTCATTATAAATGATAATTGATTTTTCTAATTAATTGGAATAATTAAAGGAATTATAGACATGATAGAAGGGAACACACAACTATTATTTTAATATTTCATTTCTACTAGGATTCACAAGAAATGAAACATTTGGCAAATTGCCCCAGGACTGGAAAGGCTAAAGGAGTAAAATGAAGTACACAAGAAATTAGAATTCAGACATGTGCTGCAGCTAGAAACAGATATGTAAGTATTTATAAATAAAAATTATCAGTGTTCCCAAAGTTGGGATTGGGGGTGAAGGTTTACTGCTTATCCTGCTACATTTTTGTACCTTAAATAAATGTTAAGAAGAAAAATTGCTTACTCTTATGTTAATTATAACTTTATAATAAATTTGCTTTGAATAAAGAATCTTGATTTTGTAATTTGCTGTTAATTAAGTCCCCTACTGATGAAGTTGATGGGGACTTTAGGTTTGCACTCCGTCTGTCTGTCTGCATGTCCATCCATCAGGCAAATCAGTTTTCCACACTTTTTTCTTCGTTCTTGAAGATATTGATTTAATGTTTGATATTCTGGTCTGATGATTTAGTCCAGAGTTTAGATGGCTGACATGGCTAAAAATAGTACATAGGGTAAAATGCAGTTTTTGGCTCATATCTCTGAAACCAAAGCATTTAGAGCAAATCTGACAGGTTAAAATTGTTCATTAGGTCAAAATATATCTGCCCTGAAATTTTCAGATCATTCAGGCAACTGGTTGTTGGGTTGCTGCCCCTGAATTGGTAATTTTAAGAAAATTTTGCAGCTTTTGGTTATTATTGAATATTATTATAGATAGAGATAAACTGTAAACAGCAATAATGTACAGCAAAGTAAGACCTACAAATAAGTCAATATGACTAAAATGGTCAATTTACCCCTTAAGGAGTTATTGCCCTTTACAGTCAATTTTTAACAATTTTCATAAATTTTGTAAATCTACAAACACATCACCATCACCAAAACACAATTTTGTCATGAATCCATCTGTGTCCTTTGTTTAATATGCACATAGACCAAGGTGAGCGACACAGGCTCTATAGAGCCTCTAGTTTTTAGATACCAGATGTGTTTTTTAAGGGGGACGGGGGCCTGCCCCCTCCCCCTTTTTGTGGGAAATATTTGGCTAATTATATCTAGGGAATCACTAAAGCATGTCCGGAGCGGGCCCCCTTATGAAAATGTCTGGATCCGTCACTGGATACATGCATTTGTACATGTAGTTTAAATGCCGCAATAACTAGATATTCAGGTAGCTCTTGGGCAGGTCAATATTGAGGTACATATAGTTTCTAAGTGTGTCAATTTTTCCATGGTCGTGGGTTCATTTTTCCATGACCATGATGGCTGAGTAAAAATGTTTAAAAATATTTTCTAACATGTGTTATTCCTACCAATTACTTATTAATGCATTACTACTATATGACATGTACAACATATATATATAGCAGTTGTAAAATTTCTTCCAAACTAACTATTTCAGTAAAGTGAATGAGTTCCAGCTGGCAAAAACATGTACATGTATGCACTGGAAGTTGTATCCCTGAGATTAATGAAATTGTTTTTGTACATGTACGCAAAATATATATTTATTGTGAAAAAAATGAAACTTTTCCACAGAATAGTATCCTCTTGGTCAAAGTACATGTATTCGTAATAAGCATTGATAGGTAATGCAATACATTTATTTCCAATGTCAATGAGTTATTCAACAACATATTAGTATAAAATTGAGAATGGAAATGGGGAATGTGTCAAAGACACAACAACACGACCATAGAACAGACAACAGCAAAAGGTCACCAATAGGTCTTCAATGTAGCGAGAAACTCCCGCACCCGGAGGCATCCTTCAGCTGGCCCCTAAACAAATATCTATACAAGTTCAGTGATAATGGATGTCATACTAAACTCCGAATTATACACAAGAAACTAAAATTAAAAACCATACAAGACTAACAAAGGCTAGAGGCTCCTGACTTGGGACAGGCGCAAACATGCGGCGGGGTTAAACATGTTTTTTGAGATCTCAATCCTCCCCTATACCTCTAGCCAATGTAGAAAAGTAAACGCATAACAATACGCACAGTAAAATTCAGTTCAAGAGAAGTTGGAGTATGCATGATCACATGAATTAGTAATCATATATTTTTTTTCAGGGGAATATTTTGCATATAAAATCCAGAGAATGAATCAATGGGGATAGGACATATCTTATTTACTAAAAAGTGTTTCCTGACATGCCTGAGGAACTTGAAGGCTGTTTGTTAAAGGTATTAAGACTTAACTATTAACATATGTATATAGATAATGTATGCCCCTTGGAAACATTCATTATATGGAAAATTGCCTTATGAGTACTCTAATGTGTACAATTCCTACCAGATTTTTATGAAATTTATGTTAAGGTTTATGTCATCAATATTTTAGACAAGTTTGAAAATCATTGCAGATCATATATTTTTAAAAGAATTGTTTCTTTTAATGTCCCAAATATAAAAAAGAAGATGTGGTATGATTGCCAATGAGACAATTCTCCACAAGAGACCAAATGACACAGAAATTAACAATTATAGTAAACCGTACAACCTTCAGCAATGAGCAAACCCCATACCGCATAGTCAGCTATAAAAGGCCCTGCAATGACAAATGTAAAACAATTCAAACGAGAAAACAAACAGCCTAATTTATGAACAAAAAAATTAACGAAAAAAAATATGTAACACATCAACAAGCATCAACCACTGAATAAGAGGCTCCTGACTTGGGACAGGCACATACATACAGAATGTGTGGGGGTGGGGTTCAACACGTAAGCAAGATCCAAACCCTCCCTCTAACCTGGGACAGTGGTGTGACAGTACAACATAAGAACAAACTATAAAAATCAGTTGAAAAAGGCTTAACTCATCAAATGGATACAAATAGAAATACGACACAGAGTAGACATGGCTGAGTACTTGTATATTTATCCCAACAACAAAAAGACACTAAGTGCAGATCTGAGAGTACTCACAGTTACAGGCAGCTAGTTCAAAGCCACTAACACCTAATAAAAAAATCATGCATCTTAGACTAAATTATCAATCAGTACACTTCCAACATCCAATGGATTTAGTGTAAAGAAGTCATAAACAGTCAGAGAAAAACATGACTTTGTGCAATGCAAGGATACAGGTATAGACAGATTATAGATCTATGAATCTGTATATGTATATAACAGTAATATTTAGTTTGCTTTTAATTTACTTAATTTATTTCACGTATCAAGATTGAATTTTGTTGGTGTCATTTTAACCATTCTAGAGGTATGCCCCTTTACAAATATGAAAACTGCTGAATTTTCCGTTTCTGTTTTCTAACTTAAGTCATTTTAAGTTATCCTCAACCAAATGTTATGAAACTTATACACAATACTTATTACCGCAAAAAACAGAGCAAGATTGAATTTTGGTGGTGTCACTTTTAATGTTCTAGAATTAAAACGTTTCTTGTTTTTTACATAGATTAGACTGTTGGTTTTGCCTTTTGAATGGTTTTACACTAGTCATTTTTGGGGCCCTTTATAGCCTACTGTTCTGTGTGAGCTAAGGCTTCGTGTTGATGCTTGACTTTGACCTATAATGTTTTTAGCCCACCTGGCCTAAAGAGCCAAGTGAGCTTTTCTCATCACTTGGCATCCGTCGTCTGTCGTCGTTAACTTTTACAAAAATCTTCTCCTCTGTAACTACTGGGCCAAATTATACCAAACTTTGCCACAATCATCATTGGGGTATATAGTTTAAAAAATGTGTCCGGTGACCCAGCCAATCAACCAAGATGGCCGCCATGGCTAAAAATAGAACATAGGGGTATAATGTAGATTTTGGCTTATATCTCTGAAACCAAAGCATTTAGAGCAAATCCGACTGGGAAAAATTGTTCATCAGGGTAAGATCTATCTGCTCTGAAATTTTCAGATTAATCGGACAACCCGTTGTTGGGTTGCTGCCCCTGAATGGTTAATTTTTAGGAAATTTTGCCGTTTTTGGTTATTATCTTGTATATTATTATAGATAGAGATAAACTGTAAACAGCAATAATATACAGCAAAGCAAGACCTACAATTAAGTCAAGTGACCAAAATGGTCAGTTGACCTCTTAAGGAATTATTGTCCTTTATAGTCAATTTTTAACAATTTTTCGTAAATTTTTGTAATCTTTTACAAAAATCTTCTCCTCAAAAACTACTGACACAAATTTAACAAAACTTGTCTGCAATCATCATTAAGGTATTTAGTTTAAAAAATGTGTCCGAAGACCCCGCTCGCAAACCAAGATGGCCGACATGGCTAACTAGAGGCTCTAAAGAGCCTGTGTCGCTCACCTTGGTCTATGTGCATATTTAGCAAAGGACACAGATGGATTCATGACAAAATTGTGTTTTGGTGATGGTGATTTGTTTGTAGATCTTACTTTACTGAACATTCTTGCGGCTTACAATTATCTCTATCTATAATGAACTTGGCCCAGTAGTTACAGTGGAAAATATTTTGAAAAAAATTTATGAAAATTGTAAAAAATTGACTATAAAGGGCAATAACTCCTTAAGGAGTCAATTGACAATTTTGGTCATGTTGACTTATTTGTAGATCTTACTTTGCTGTACATTATTGCTGTTTACAGTTTATCTCTATTTATAATAATATTGACGATAATAACCAAAAGCTGCAAAATTTTCTTAAAATTACCAATTCAGGGGCAGCAACCCAACAACGTGTTGCCTGATTGGTCTGAAAATTTCAGGGCAGATAGATCTTGACCTAATGAACAATTTTATCCTCGTCAGATTTGCTCTAAATGCTTTGGTTTCAGAGATATGAGCCAAAAACTGCATTTTACCCTATGTACTATTTTTTAGCCATGTCGGCCATCTTGGTTCGCGGGCAGGGTCATCGGACACATTTTTAAACTAGATACCCTAATGATGATTGTGGACAAGTTTGGTTAAATTTGTCTAAGTAGTTTCAGAGGAGAAGATTTTTGTAAAAGATTACAAAAATTTACGAAAAATGGTTAAAAATTGACTATAAAGGGCAATAACTCCTTAAGGGGTCATGTTGACTTATTTGTAGATCTTACTTTGCTGAACATTATTGCTGTTAACAGTTTATCTCTATCTATAATAATATTCAAGATAACCAAAAACGGCAAAATTTCCTTAAAATAACCAATTCAGGGGCAGCAACCCAACAACAGGTTGTCCGATTAATCTGAAAATTTCAATTTCACCCCATGTCAGAATTGCTCTAAATGCTTTGGTTTCAGAGATATAAGCCAAAATCTACATTTTACCCCTATGTTCTATTTTCAGCCATGGCGGCCATCTTGGTTGGTTGGCCGGGTCACCGGACACATTTTTTAAACTAGATACCCCAATGATGATTGTGGCCAAGTTTGGTTTAATTTGGCCCAGTAGTTTCAGAGGAGAAGATTTTTGTAAAAGTTAACGACGACGACGGACGACGACGGACGCCAAGTGATGAGAAAAGCTCACTTGGCCCTATGGGCCAGGTGAGCTAAAAATAGTACATAGGGTAAAATTCAGTTTTTGGCTCATATCTCTGAAACCAAAGCATAAAGAACATATCTGACATGGGGAAAAAATGTTCATTATGTCACAATCTATCTGCCCTGAAATTTTCAGATGAATCAGACAACCCGTTGTTGGGTTGCTGCCTCTGAATTGGTAATTTTCGAAAATTTTGCAGCTTTTTAGTAATTATCTTCAATATTATTATAGATAGCTATAGAGATAAACTGTAAACAGCAATAATGTACAGCAAAGTAAGACCTACATATAAGTCAACATGATCAAAATGGTCAATTGACCCATTAAGGAGTTATTGCCCTTTATAGTCATTTTTTTACAATTTTCATAAATTTTGGCAAATTTTTACAAAATATTTTCCTCTGTAACTACTTGGCAAAGTGCATTATAGATTGAGATAATTGTAAGAAGCAAGAACGTTCAGTAAATTAAGATCTACAAACACATCACCATCACCAAAACACAATTTTGTCATGAATCCATCTGTGTCCTTTGTTTAATATGCACATAGACCAAGGTGAGCGACACATGCTCTTTAGAGCCTCTAGTTTTCTTTTTCAAATTGTGACTTGGAGTGAGGGTTGTCTCATTGGCACTCTGACTCATACCACATCTTCTTGTAATATATCTATATTAAGACCCTTTAAAAAACGGAAAAATTGCTGAATCTTTCCTTTCAGTTCACTAACTTGAGTTTGCCTTGACATAATGTTATGAAACTTATACACCATACTTATTACCACAAAACTCTGATCAAGTACAAATTTGGGTAGCATCGCTTTTACATGTTCTTCAGTTATGTCCCTTTATGAATTTATATGATATCTGTGTCACATGAACACATTCGCCATTTATTGAGGGATTGCCCTTGTATTTAATAGATAAGATATATGCAACATTGGGGACATTGGAACTCTGTTCTTTTATTGATTTTCATTTTTGCTTTAGTTCAGTTATGCAAAGATAGTACAGTGTAATACTATATGTTGGAATTCATATCAAGAACAGATAATACACCTATAAGTAGATACTGTTGTGATTTTTTTTTAAAGCTGAAATTATTAATAAACAAACTCATAAATGCCATGTAAATTAATATTTTATTTCAATCTATATTTACAGATAAGAAAACAACTTCAGCATGCAAGAAAGAAGAAACATAGTTTGGAATCAAATCTTTGACATTAATTTAATTCATTTTTGTTGCTTATATTTATATGAAAATTAAAGTTGACTAAAACATAACTGAAATATTTGTCATCTGTGAATATTAGTAAGGGGTGAGAAACATTTATTTTGGAAGGTATGGCTTTCAAAAAAGATATTACAACTGAAATCATGGAAGTGTTCATATATTTTCGATAAAGATCAATAATAGTTTAAATGCATGAACCACTGTATCAGGTTAGGGTGAAGGTTGGTGCCAGGTAAAACGTTTAAACCCAGTGCATTTGTTTGCACCTTTCCTATGTCAGGAACCTGATGTTCAGTGGGCTTTTTTATGTGGTTAATAATTGTTTCTCAATTTTTATATATCTTCGACCATTGATTTTCCTGTCTGAAAGGCCCTTAATTGCTTGCTGTTTGGTGTGAGCCTTGGCTCTGTGTTGAAGGCCGTACTTTGACCTATAATGGTTTACTTTTACCAATTGTGACTTGGATGGAGAGTTGTCTCATTGGCACTCAAACAACATATTTTTATATCTATATACATATGAAGGTAGTCATATTTGAGAGGAAGTGTATAGACCTCTCTACCAAGAAATTTGTTTAGCATGCATACATATAATATTTGCGGTTTTTATCCAATGCAATCATGGGTTTGAACGTTGTTTTTAATTTAGACTTGTTTATATTAAGATCCATTTTGTACATATAGTGATCCGTTTATTTTGCAATCAATGCAATCAGCAGGGTTTAAGATCATCTGTTGGTGGACCTGCTAGTCAAATGCGGTTGTTAAAATATACTTTTTCATTTTTTTGGTGATTTAAAAATGTTGTTTGTGCTGTATTTATACCCCTCTTCCAAGAAATTTATTTATGCACACATATACAATCGCAATCATAGGTTTGAAGGTTATTTTTATTTAAGGCTTGTATATATAATATGAATGATGCTTAGACAAAATATGATGATAATGCTGATGGGACAGGGTTCGTGTTTTAAGGCCAGTAGCAAATACCTGAATATCAGAATGAGAATATGTCAATGTGATTGATTGATTGGTTAACATTTGCAGTGTCAAATATTTCATGCCTGTTTAGAAGAATAAATGAACAATACGGGTATATGATATTGGGAAGTTTTTAATAAAAGCCGTCAGGGATGAAGGTCAGGGAAATTTAAACTGCCACTAAAAAATGAGGGTTTAGTGGAAAGGAACAGAAAAGTTGCCTTGCAATAGGCCACCTGCGGAATTCCTCTTGTTGCAAGCGTTCTTAACATGCAAAGGGTGGCACTGTCTACACAAGGAATCGAATTAAACATCCCCATTCTGTCTGCTTACTTGTACATCCTGCACAGTCAAATGAATGGCTCACTTTGGCAATGGTTTTACTGCTGGTACAAAGAAGACCAAGAGTGACCATACTTCTATTCTCAAGTCACTACTGGAGGTTCAATGGGATATGATCATGAATGTGAAGGAAACATTCTATCTAGGACATACGTTTTCTAGAGATGTTATCTTTGAATGGGTTATTTGTGGAGCAACATCCCATTATCTCTTGAGCGAAGTATAAAAAATTCAATCCTCCATGACATGTTTGACCCAGAATATCAGAGGAACTTTGGAATTCTAGTTTTCCCTTAAAAAAAATAATCCGGAAGCATTGTTGATCTCAGAAGAAGTGAAAATTCATCAATTTTATTGTAAAAAAATTACAATGTCATAAAAAAAAGATCTTGTCCTTATTCACGAAAATCACCTTAAATTATCTTGTCAATTAGTTGTCTTCTAACAAAATAAATTTTGCATATAAACACGTTTTTTATGTGTTTAAAATATATTTTAAGGGCCACTGGTAATTTTTTGTTTCAATGTCTTCAAGACACCAACAAATTTTTTCAAGACGTCTTGGGTGAGAGGATACACTTTTTGAAGTTTCAATAATGTCTTAAAGATACATGTCTTCAGACATAGAATCCATGTCTCAAGACACATCTTAAATGGTTTCATGTCTTAAGACGTATGCGCTATGTCTCAAGACATAAGGTGTATGTCTCCAGACTGTCTCGAGACGTCTTAAGACAATGAGGTCCATTTGCTATGAAAGACTCATTAGTGACGCTCGAATCTAAAAGTTAAAAAGCCAAATGAAGTACGAAGTTGAAGAACATTGAGGACCCAAAATTCTGAAAGGTTTTGTCAAATACAGCTAAGGTAAAATATTCCTGGGGATGAAATCCTAAGTATTTCGTAAATTCTAAGTTTTATGAACATATAATTTATAATTATGACTATATCAATGATAATTCATGTCAACACAAAAGTATACCGGTGAATTTTTTCACATCCATGTACTATTGCAATGTTCCATTTCTTTTTTTCAATTTAAATAAAATACAGATTATGTGTTTAAGCTTTGTTTACTAGGATCTGAAATTGACAACGCCTCGTTCTACTTTCTTTTTTTAAAGGCCTTTCGGGATCCTCTGATTTTGTCGCATTAATACATACCTTCAAAAATTGAAATTTCATTGGCTAATCTAATAATTACCAGAACAGAAAGTAAAACGGAGTGTTGTCAAATCCTTGTAAGCAAAACTTAGACACATGATCTGTATTTTAATCAGATTTTTTTTTATTTGTGCAGATCTTTGTTGACTTACTGGTAACCGACGCATGCGCAAGCGGTTTTCTAATCAAGGAGTGTCCTCAGTAGTACACTTGCTTCCTCCATATTCGGTATGAATATGGTAAGGTAGTTTATAAATCCAAGAAATGTAAGCAGCTCGCTTTTGTTTTCCGGCTGATTCATAGCTTATACAGCTCTTACGTTTTCTTGATCTGGGTTCACTCCCTCAGATGATAGTAAATGTCTATCAGAAGATATTCCATCCAAGTCACAATTTAAAAAAGTAAACCATTATAGGTCAAAATACGGTCTTCAACACGGAGCCTTGGCTCACACCGCACAGCAAGCTATAAAGGGCCCAAAAAATTACTAGTGTAAAACCATTCAAACGGGAAAACAAACGGTCTAATCTTTAAAAAAAACGAGAAACGAGAAACACTTATGAACCACATCAACAAACGACAACTACTGAACATCAGATTCCTGACTTAAGACAGGTGCAAACAATTGCAGCGGGTTTAAACGTTTTAATGGTACCAAACCTTCACCCTTATCTGAAACAATAGTGTAACATCACAATATAGAAAGACACACTATAAAATATCAATTTAAATGGCTTAACTCAATCAAAAAAAATATTAACACAAGTGAACATACACTGAACGAATAAATTTGATCTATGATATAATGCAAATACAAAATCAATAAAATAAGGGAATAATAATTAAAGTAACAGTATCATACCGTTGTGAAATGTTAAACAATTTCAGAAAAACAAAAATCCGCCATTAACATTAATATTATACACAGGTTAATGAAAATAATTTTGTTGTTAGGTATACAGTTTAAATGGAGAAAGGAAATATTTTTACAAAATAAATAATTTTGATGTTCATAGTTCGAAGAAGTGAAAATTTATCGTAATACCAAACACTTGTCAAAGCTAAATCTGGATTTTAGTGAAGTTCTTGTTGTTAAGTCTGATTTTCTACTTTGTGTTTTGAGGACTTGTTCGTCTTTTCGTCGTTTTTCGATTTTTGACAAGGCGTTGCTAATTTTGTTTTCGATTTATGAGTTTTGAATGTCCCCAAGGTATCTTCTGCCTCTTCTTTATATCATCAAAAATTACTATCGTAAGAAAGGGCCGTATTTTCAACAAACCTACCTAGAGTACTTACAATACTTCAATTTTTATTCTTGACATAATTGTTGCTGATAAATTATCAGAAAAGGTTGATTGATTGATTTTTGTTTGCTTAATATCCAGTGGCAAGTATTTCATGCATCTTCAAGAAGACAACAAAAGGAGATGTTTTATAAATGACCAATGAACGATGATGTTAACAAATACTAGTATAGGTCAGCATACGTACGGTCTTCAAAAAAATCAAACCCCTACTGTAAAGTAAACTATAAAAGCCCCCCTGACAAAATGTGAAGCAAATCAAAATTAAAAAAAAACGGCCTGATTAATAAGAAATGATAGAGAGCGACTGAAGACAACAACTGAGTTACAGGCTCCTGACTTAAGAGCATTAATGACTTTATTTTCATTAGAATGATACAATGTTTTAATTCCTGTATCAAGAAAAGTAATCGATTTTTTTTTATCTCTGTCTCTATATGACGTTAATACTTTTTGATTAAAAAATTAAATCTACGTGTTTGATCATTCATTGTCTTGAACTTTCTATATTTCTGTCAATTTTGCCTTCGGAACAATTTACTATGCGGTTTGGGTTTTGCTCATCATTGAAGGCTATATTGTAATCCAAACCTGTGCAATCATACCATATTTCCTTATTTTTATAGTTCATAATTTTCAATAACAACTATTTACACATAATCACAATTGGTAATAGATATTGCATTTAAAATATTTAAACTTCGAAATAATGTATCTCATGTGTATAAGTTGCATATTTTCGAGCAATTTTTGTAACTTTCTGATTATTTCGAATATATTTTTCAACGATTTTTTGCTCGGAAAAAGATGGCCAAACGTGAAGCATTTTGAAACATTTCTCAGCTGTTACATACCCTCTGCCATATCGTTTGGTTGTAAACTATTTTAATTAATGCGTTAGGCTCGTCTATCTTCACAATATGTGAATTACATTTAAAAGGGTGTGCTCTGGACACAAAAACTGTTCTTACTGACTTATAAGAAAGAACAATTGAAATCGACACTACATGAGTTTTAAGGTAAGCATCGCGATTTGGTTGACTGCATCAAATCATTACCGAGATGTTTTTGCGATTTAAGATCTATAGATGCCAGAATAGTCGTCCGATGTGTAAATTTACGGATAGTGTTTTATTTATGATTATGGTATTTTGACTGGGTGTTGACTCGCATGGTAGTTGAAACATGTTTACTCTACCGAGGAAGCCAGTCTCGCTCCTTTTGAAATCTTGCAATTCCCTCAATTTTTGTTCTCTTTCATTGATTGTATCTTTTCATGTTTTAATGAGATTTGAACATCGGTTAACTAATATTGCATCTAATATCAATTTTTAAAGGAACCATTATTAATGTTTTATGCTGTGAAAATAACTTTGTTTTCAAATTAAACAAGTGGAGAAATATAAAATATGACTTTAATATTTCATACAATAATTTAAAGTTATTTCCCTTTTACCATACATGTTTAATATGGAATGTTATCAATGTTATATATTTTAAAACTATTGAACAAACTTAATTTGGTTCTTAGAAATAGTTATTTGACGCTTTTACACTTCAAGTTCCCTTTCCGATTGAATTATAATTTCAACCTCTTTTTCTGTCAGTTACGAATAATTTTCTTCGCTTCAATTCTGTATCCTTTGGTTTTTGTCCTTTAAATTAAATTCCTATTTCATCCAGTGTTTTCGTTTTTTTTTTCAATTTCAACTTTCAACTTGTAAATTTTATGTCTTTCATTTTGATAAGTTCTGAACCAACAGATATTATTAAATCAAAAGCAGTTCCTCTTCTTCTAAAGAAATGAACAACTGTATTTGTTATTTCAGATTTCAGCATGGAACTTTATAGGTTTCTGAATAATCATTTTAGTAGGCTTTGAAACATTATTACATACCATGAAATGAAGATCTTTTTAAGAGTTGTAAAATCTACCGTTATAGTATTTAAGATAATGATTTACGTGAGCTTTATTCATCAAATCGGCACCAATCAACAAAGACACCAAATTGCGATATAAATGTACATGCAGTTAGTAAAAGCTACTTTAAAGACGATTACACCTAATAAATATCTCTAAATGTTTTCCAAAAATAAAAAAAATCAATCAGTCACATTAAACAAACTTATTGTTAAAAAGTCAAAGAAAGTCTGAGAAAAGCATAACCTTATCGGCTGATCTACATTTCAACTGAACACAATTACATGTTAAGAGTGTCGAAATTGAAATAACACTAAACCATTATTTTCATTAATGATTTATTTTCCTCTACCTGCTTGCAAATTGAATGTGTATTATAAGAATACAAAAACATAAGGCAGGTTTTCAGGTAAAGGCGCTTGCACTCAATCTAATATATCTGTTAGAATCCTAAAAAATCCACGAGTAATATGTGATTCCCTGGTGAAACAATCTGTTTCGATCCAAACAGGTAGACCGAATATGATCGATGTCTACACCCTATCCACATTTTACCGCTCACGTCTATGCACATTGAAATGGGGTTCGGTATATTATAATCTCGTGTGTCAATACGTGTTTTTAAGGTGCCTATTGTATTTAGGACATGTAAGAATTGTGTATCTAACACAGCAATATGACCGTCTGAAGTAACAGATAAGCTTCTAGGTTTAAAATGCGAAGTTAAATTTGGATCACCTTTGTACATCCACATAACCTTATTTGGATATGCCAGCGATATAATACGACTTTGACCGCTTACTGGCTCTTGTAAATCAATAACATACATATCGTTATTAATGTGCGAGGTTGCTTTAAGCGGGTATGTAAAAATTCGCTTTTTGTCATCATCAAATTCATACGTGTGTAATATATCTCCGTTGAGCTCCATAATGATAATTTGCCTTACACTATTTTCTGATAACTCAATTTGACCCTTTTCGCATATTCCTATAACAATCTTGCAGGACTTTGTTAAGTGTAAAGCTCGAGGAACCATTTCTGGAAAATCAACAAATTCTAGTATTGTTCCGTCATTTCTCATCTTGACAAGCTTCGATTTTCCCTCAAGAGACAGAATCACTTCTTCGTTATCAATTTCTAGCATCTCTACGACATCAATATCTTTAATTTCGTTTTTTTGTTCAATGCCGTCCGTTCCCATAGCTATCATTTTTAAGCAAGTATCATAGTCACTCACCATTACTGCACCATCTAAGCAAGGTTGGATATTACTGACCGTTATGTCAGTGTCAAATGAACCAAGTACTTCTATCTTTACTTTATGATCCGGCTGGATATCAGTTAAAATCCCAAACATATCTGAAATTTGTGTTTCATTAATATTTCCTTGATCTAATTTCATTGAATTAATATGCGCATCTCCGTATGACTTATCCGGTTGTGTCCATGTTTTGATGGAATCTTCTGTTTCTGTTAATCTTTTCAAATTACCCGAATTCAGGGATAATGTCAAAGATTCGACTTTTGTACTTAAATCTTGTTTTGCATTTATGCTGGAATTTCGAGCCGCTACCTGTATGTCTTTAATTTCTTTCCACCTGTCTTCAAGCTTTTGAAGTTGAATTTTCGATTCATTTTCTACCGATTCTTTCATCTTTTCTGCTTGATCTAATAAAGCTTTTTTCGCGCTTTCGTACAAGCTATTCTCGAAGTTTATCTTCGTCTCAATACTTATTTCAGACGACTCATGAAAAGAAAGTTCGATTTTAAGTTCATCTCGGTAGTATTTCAAGCTATTGAATTTGTCCTTGTAAAGGTCTTTCAAACTCTCAACTTCATGACCACTATGATGATTTGTTACACAAAATGGACATACTAGCTGTTGGCATCTCGTGCAAAAAAATATTATTCTCAACTCGGGATGTGTTTTACAAAGTATGTGCAAATTCGGTTCGTTAATTTCCTTCTTTCCAATTTTTGCCAGTTCTATAACATGATGGACCTCTGATTCAGGGAATTTAGTATGAATGTTATTCTTACATTTTTCGCACATTAAATAATTGCAATTAGTGCATTTCCACTTTATTTTCATACTTTCCTCGCAAATGTGACACAAGGCTGGTGTTACAGGAGACGCCATTTTGCGTTATGATAAAGTATGCAATAGCTATAGATCTTGGTAAACAAAACACACAATTTAAATTTGCACAACTCAATCGACCATAAATCGTTTTAACTTTACAAATGTAATTTAATATGATTATCATCAGGAAACATTAAATATTTTATACGTTATGTGCAATACAATAGACAGAACACATAATTACTAAATAATTTGGTTAGTGGTTACAGAGAATTGATATTAAAAAGGAGAGGAAATAAAAAAGGAGGAGGATAACTCAAACGTTTTTAAGAGCATTTATTAGCAAAAAATTTTAAATTAAAAAAACAACAAAACCGTATAATTAAGCATACTAGTATAACAATATAAAATTTTATAAAATTACGTATTTAAATCAAAGTGGGGAGGGATAGGCCAGAAAATGTTTCTCAAACAATGTTTCTTATCTTAAAACGATCAATGCTTTTATCAAACCAACCACGTGTCTTCTATAAAGAGGTAGTATAAAGATAAAAGAGGAACGAAAGATACCAGAGGGACAGTCAAACTCATAGATCGAAAACAAACTGACAACGCCATGGCCAAAAATAAAAAGACAAACAGACAAATAACAGTACAGATGACACAACATAGAAAACTAAAAACTAAGCACAACGAACCCCACCAAAAACAGGGGGTGATCTCAGGTGCTCCGGAAGGGTAAGCAGATCCAGCTCCACACGCGGCACCCGTCGTGTTGCTTATGTTATTACAAATCCGGTAAATGATAAGATGTGGTATGATTGCCGATGAGACAAGTATTCACAACAGTCCAAATTATGTGGATATAAGCAACTATAGGTAACCGTACGAACTACAACGATCAGAAAACACCATAACAAATAGCCAGCTATAAAAGCCCTTGACATGACAAAATGAGAAATAATTAATGAAACGACAAAAACCAACGAACTAAATTGTGACAAAGCAATTAACAAAAAAAATCAGTTGGGATGTATGATCGTGTAATTGTCTAGTTATTGTTTTAGTTCTATATCGTTCTATATTGAACATATAGTCATTTCATTCATAGGTTGAGTTTATCCGATGTGATCCGTGATGCTGGTAGAGTCGGTTTCAAGTGAGTGCTAACTGTGCACCCTTACTAGCCGACTTGTTTTGTATTTATGTGAAGCAGAATTCAAACAAAACCTTTTCATTGACAAAAAGAAAAAGCATTTCGCAATGTTCTTTATTTTCACTTTCAGATATATTGCCTTTCTTTGTGAAGCCGGTTTGCCACTTACCCGTTATTTTCATTTCAATATCCGCTTCCCGATCATTGAAATACGCTGAAACTTTGATTCCCAAGCCTCAAATCATTTGCCTCACCAGATATAACGGCCAAGCTACGCCACTGATATCAAAAGTGATATTAAAATGATTTTGATATCATTCAATAATTGAAAATATTCATTTACTAATATATTAAGAGGCTTTCAAACTCGGGAGGGATGGGTTCTAAAGGCGATATTCTCAAAGATAAAATATCATATAAGTGTACTTTGCATTCAGGGTTCTCGTATAAGAAGAGGCAATTTCCACCTTTACCATTGTTCCATTTGGTACACTTCTCGTTCAGTTCGTCATATTAAAGGCTTGAACAAAAGATGTGAGTCGATTGAAAAGAGTAAATCAATTGACTGATTTATGCTAAAAACAACAAATAAACAACAAATTAAGACAGACATCAACTGAATTACAATCTCCTGACTAGGGACATCAACATTAAGTATGCGACGGGGTTAAATATGTTTGTGATCACCCGACCCTCCCCTTACAAGGATTTTGTAATACCAACACAACAATAGAACAAAACGATAAAAGTAAGTTGAATAGTAGCAAGACTAGTCAGATCGTTGTGTGTGTGTTTCCCTTCAGTTAAAAGATGGAGAAAGATACCTAAGGGGAAAACCAAAATTCATTAGTCGAAATTCAACCAACAACACCATTATAGCAAAAAAGAAAAACAGCCCACAAAACACTACATAGAAAAACTAAAGACTGAGTAACACATTTACCAGTGTCTGAGCAGAAAGTTGATGAACCAGGGTTATGTCAAAGAACGTCTCGTCCTTTTTTTCTAAAAAGAGTTATAAGTTCACAGATGGGATGAATAAATATGCAGCCATGTCCTTTCGGAATGGGGATATTAAATCCGATATCTCCTACCATATGTACTAAGTGTTTTGTTTGTTCTCATCCTGAAGATTTATGAAATATTTTCAAATATTTGCAACTAGACTTGTGGCAATAAACATTCACTCAATCTTTTCAAGTCGGAAAGCATTTCAAACCCTACTGGCTTTTCAAAGTGAAAGTCTAAATAATACACTTAATCAGTAATATAGATACAATGATAAGCGTTGATTCTTGAAAAAGAAACCATGAGCCCGGATGGCGAATGGTTTGTTTTTCATGAATCAACGCTTATCCATTGTGTTTATAACTTAAACTATTGTGTTGATATCTTTGCAAGATTGAAGCCTTTTCTTAATTAGAAGGTATTGTAAGTGAGTTTAAATAACCACGTAATCATGTTCAACGATGCATTAATAAATCTAAGTTCACAATTAATTGGTTAGAGAAATACAAATAAAAACGTCTGTCTTTAAATTATCAGGCATCTGAATATTATCCGTAATCTACAAAATAAGACATATTCGAACTTATTTCTAAGTTTATGTATATATAATAAGTATGTTACCGAAATTTCTAGCAAGAAGCCTAATTCTTGGGACATCATTATTTACTCGCATAGGGATTTGCAAATAAACATTTGGAAAATCATGTAGTAAAACAGATGAAATCATACTATATCTATAAAACAAAAATGGACAGATTGAATGTAATCATATTCGTTTCAAATATGTGAATAGCCAATAATAATCCAAAAATAAACGGAAAAACCCGCTATAATTACAAAAATATCCACAATAACATACAACATAAAAAATAAACGGAAAAACTAAAGAATAGGGACAACAAAGAGAATACAGGGATTCGAACCTAAACCAGTAAGTCTCTATATTTAACTTGACTCTTTAACTCATTGATCTTAACCATGTTAACCTCGCGGCTACCAACTTTTATACTATACGATTGCCTATTATGTATATATAAAGGTACAAGCTCTGTGTCGACCTTGTACCGATGTGTATCACATGTTCATTTATATATAAAAAAATAGACATCTAAATTGCAACCCATTGGTAGCCGAGAGGTTTCGTCGATGTGTTGATGTCAGTCACACATAACAGATTTCAAGGAGGGGTTCGATTCCCAGTAAAGGCATATAAAATTACAAAAATTAAAGGTAAGTTTTTAGATTAATTCCATTAGTGAACAGAAATCAGTAAATGAGCCAATTCAAACTTAATGAAATTAGGCACACAAAGGAAACAATTGAATATAATTTGATGAGTCCATTTCAGCGACAGATTTAGGAAGCGTTGATTCTGTAATAGTTATACACCGAGGGATAGGTGTGTCCGGAGGCCGGAGGGATTTCTTATCCAGACACGCCGTATCCCGAGGTGTATAACTAACTTACACCCCATTCTAAACCCTATATTTGTTAACATTGATTATTAAATGAAAAAAAAAAAAAACGATAGCATATTTATTGACAATATCAAACCATGATTTATAAGAATTTTTTTTTATTACATGATACCCCACTAGTAACCTTTCTTATGGTATCTTTCTTCAAACTTTGACAAGTGAGTATATTTTACAAATGTCAAAGTTGTTTTGCATATTCCCGTTAAATCCATGCGCTAAAATGGATCAGCGGGTCAAGGTTGACCGTTTCGTGTATTCTTATTTCAAACAAAAAAAAAACATCATGCTCCTTGTATGCAGGAGGGACGAAAGATACCAGAGGGACAGTCAAACTCATAGATCGAAAACAAACTGACAACGCTATGGCCAAAAATAAAAAGACAAACAGACAAATAATTGTACAGATGACACAACATAGAAAACCAAAGACTAAGCAACACGAACCCCACCAAAAACTGGGGGTGATCTCAGGTGCTCCGGAAGGGTAAGCAGTTCCTGCTCCACATGTGGCACCCGTCGTGTTACATATGTTATTACAAATCCGGTAAATAGTCTAATTCGGTAAGTCACATTCGTGAAAAGGGAGGGTATTGTAGTTACGACATAAGGAACATATCCGATATCATCTGTGAAACGGTTATTCCATAACGGTCAACCAACTCGTGATGGCGTCCGTAAAATTTACGAAGGGATGACTTCAACTTCACCATTTGGAACTCTTGGTTTAATAGCTTCCTTGTGAGCAGCAATCCTCTATCAAGGAAATCATGATAGGAAACACAAGCCCGGGAATATCGTATCAATTGGGAGATATATATACTCCGTATGCAGGCGCTGCTGGAATGTTGCTACAGAGAAATGGAAAGTTCACAATTGGGAAGCTGAAATCATCTCTTTTGTCGTAAAGTTTTGTTTTCAACCGACCCTCATTGTCAATTTCTAAATGTAAGTCAAGATATGAGGCAGACCTAACTGTATCTGTAGTATCCTTTATCTCTAGTTCGATGGGATAGATTCGTTCAACATAGTCACCAAATTTTGTATTATTTAGTGAGAGAACATCATCTATATAGCGGAACGTAGAGTTAAAGGATATTGCTAACTTCTTATCTTTCTTCCTGAAGAAGTTCCTGTATGAAGTCAGCCTCATAATAATACAGAAACAAGTCGGCAAGAAGAGGGGCACAATTGGTTCCTATTGGAATTCCGACAGTCTGTTGAAAAACACGTCCTCCAAACGTAACAAATATGTTGTCAATCAAGAAATCAAGCATCTTGATAATGTCAGTTTCAGAGAATTTTTGTTTGAATCAGAGTGATTCTTTACAAAGTAGGATTTATCCCTCCCCAAGACAAGATACTTGTATCTACGTTCGCCATTCTTTTTAATGAAACAAAGTAATACCAACTCTTTCAATTTGTCTTTTAGTTTGGAATGGGGAATACTTGTGTAAAGTGTAGAAAAGTCAAATGTTTTAATACTATTGCAAGATGAGAGAGTCTTAGATTGTATGTACTCTAAAAGACCTTTGGAATTTTTTAGTATCCACATCAGTTGTCAATATGGACGACATTTTGTGGCAAGCGTTGGATTTGGTAGAAGAGACTTAAGATAAAGGCAATATTATAACCAAAAGTACTTACCTGTATCAGTGTAATAAAGGTAATCATAACTGTATTTTATATCTTACGGTTTTATAACCCCCCCCCCCTTTTTCTTCTCGAGAATAAACAAACATTCATATTCGGACATACTAAGGGATAGGTGTGACCCGACTACCAGACACGCTCAACATACAGAGATACAGATTTAATATTTAGGAACTCCCTTTTGGGGGGCAAACAGGGGCTGATCCAGCTTGGGGTTCCCAACTCAAGAGAAAAGGGGGGTCCAACCATTCAAATGCATTGATCTTTTAAATAAAAGTCGGTCCAAACCGCGGAACCCCCACCCCAGATCGGCAAATGGGTAACCGAGTGGGGAGGGGGAATCCCGGGAGTTAGAATCCCCATTTTGTTAAGACCAATGCTTTAGAATAGAGACATTTGACTTGGATAAAAAAAAATACCTTCAAGCAAAGGAGTATTTAAAGGATGATTTTTGTATTCAAAATAGATGCTTAATTTTTTTCGCTATTGGAATTTCTTAAATGCAGTGGCGGATCCAGAACTTTTTGTAAGGGGGGCCCACTGATTGACCTAAAAAGGGGGGCTACAGTCATGCTTCAGTGATTCCCTATATAATCAACCAATTTTTTCCCACAAAAGCCCCCTCCCCCCTGGATCCGCCTATGAATTTTTTTTTTTTTTAATATCTTGAAACAATTTGTAGTGAACACTATTAGTAATTTCTTATGTTCAAGCTATTTAAAAAATAATCAATATCTATTGTCACGAATAACAATGGATTTTGTTTGCTGTATGTAGAAGCAGGGGTTTCCAGAAACCCCGTTCGTCACATCCTGTGGTCAAAATCCTTTGTTATTCGTAACAATAGATCTATTCAATTTACACTTGTTTCAGAAATAGAAACTATGAAGTATAACAATAGAACTGGGGTGTAAAGAAAAAGAATCCACGGTAAATGAATAGGCTGACGTCACGGCAATGGTTTAATACGTGTTTAATTATTTTACAACAGTAAAATACACTCCGACTGAAAAACAATCCCTTTTACAAATCAATATTCCATTAAGACTAGATAAACATGCGTTATTATTTTCATTTACCTGTGTACGTTATTTTATTTAACCCCATTTTGTCCAAGGTTATAGTTGTCTTACTGATATTGTTTTAAATTTCCCCCCCTTTTTTATTAATTTTGTATTTACATTGTTGCATAGATCAAATTTATTCGTTCAGTGTATGTCTACTTTGTTTTTGTTAATATGTCTTTTGATTGAGTTAAGCCATTTCAATTGATATTTTATAATGTGTCTTTCTATGTTGCGATGTTAGACTATTGTTTCAGGTTAGGGTGAAGGTTGGCGCCTGTTAAAACGTTTAAACCCGCTGCATTTTTTTGCACCTGAAGAACAAGAACCTGTTATTCAGTGGTTGTCGTTTGTTGATGTGATTCATAAGTGTTTCTCGTTTATCGTTTTTATATAGATTGAACCGATGGTTTTCCTGTTTGAATGGTTTTACACTAGTAATTTTTGCTGCCCTTTAAAGCTTGATGTTCGGTGTGAGCCAAGGCTCCGTGTTGAAGGCCGTACTTTGACTTATAATGGTTTACTTTTACAAATTGTGACTTGGATGGAGAGTTGTCTCGTTGGCACTCATACCACATCTTCTTATATCTATGCACTGATGAAGTATGTATTAGGTCGCGACTGGAGAACTATATATCATTAAAGTTGAGCGAGTGACAATACTTTAAATCTGAATCTTATATTTTTGGCATTCCAATTTGGACTTACAACTCGAATACATTATTACATGGAATCTTTAAATCACTTAATTGCTCATGCAACTACAATGATGTCCGACTCTTCAAAACTTTTCTAGGCTTGCAACATGAATAGAGTCTAAGCGGAACGTTGAATCAAACCCATATACCCAGTTTCCTCAGGTTAAATTAATCTTAGGTTTTTTTATTTCAGGTCCCTTTTTGTGACACCAAGGGTGACTGTGTTATGTGGTATAGATATATGATCGCTCATAGTCTTATTCCAACAAAATAGAGACGTTAAATCTGATGCCTTGTTTAGAGATAGTGCAACATTCTATGCACGTTTAGAACCATAGTTACAACTCTTTGAAGGGTTCGTATGTGGACCCTTGAAAGGCAAATTTTCTGTCCTATCCATTATACCCTCATTTTCTAGGGACAGTCTAAATTCCCCCGACCTTCATCCATGAAGTCTTTTCTTACAGGACCTACCTATTATTGTTATTTTTAATTTGTTCTCGTCCTGGACATGCATAAAATAGTTGCCCTGGACGTTAAGCAACCAACTATCAATCAATCAATCAATCGCTTATTGTGGTATTTTTGTATTTATATATCTTTGGCTATCAATTGTTTGGATTTGAGTGTTCCTAGAGAAAGTAAATCCAGAAAGTCACCTAGGATGCACCAACTTTATAAAGTGATATTTAAAATATTTATTTTTCTTTCTCAAATCTAGACTCCAAATACAAATACAATTCTTATCACATCCAGCACGTTTTGCAATCACCAAATATATAGAAGAATATTAGAAGTTTAACGCTTAATTCGAATATCATTTACCTCTACATAGCTCAAATTACGATCGTGTACATATGCATAGGTAGATGTTATAAAACTAACTTATTAAGTGTTAGTGTGTAAATGGCCTGTAAAAAGAGTCTGGTCCAGTTCCGAAGAACGGTTTACCGGACCAAATGGCCAGTTGATTTCTCATAGTCTTGGGAACCACTGTAAAAAGTTTGTTTCATGTAACAGATGAAAACATTAATGTGATGGAATATCGAACATGACGTAATTCCAAGACGAACTAGCTGTTTGTGTCGTCTGCCGAAGTTTAGATATGAAGTTTCTGGTTTTGTGGAGGATAAGTTAAAAACAGGAAAAGAATGTATGTTTATTGTTGATGTATTATGGTCAGATGAACGAGCTTGTTGCATAAGACGAAGTTACCAAGACTTTCTATAAAAAAGAAGATGTGGTATGATTGCCAATGAGAAAACTCCCCACAAGAGACCAAATGACACAGAAATTAACAACTATAGGTCACCGTACGGCCTTCAACAATGAGCATAGCCCATACCGCACAGTCAGCTATAAAAGGCCCCGAAATGACAATGGAATTTAGGCAAAAAATAATCAAACAGAATAAGAAACTGACAGATCTTCCAAAATTACCTGGTTTGTATTTGAACGCTAAATGATTAATAAGGAATGATTATTATAATGTATTCCTCGTGTCGAATTTATCTCTTGTATCTTATTGACAAGTTGTTGGGAGGTACTAGATGACATGAACACATTAGATAGTTGCCTAATATACGTTTGGGCGATTGAAATACTATAGACAAAATTTTTTAAAAATTCTCAAACTATTGCTGTATTGCATTATTGTTTAATAAGTAGTATATAAAGGCGGGTCAGTTACCACACTAACAAAGAATGATACATTTGTATATTATTGATAGTATGTGAAAAATGATAGATTCTTGTTGTCAGAATTGATGAAATATAAAGCATATTTTGACATGAGAATACTGATAAGTAATATTTGCTTTAGGGACTTTTGAAAAGGATAGGTTAATTGCAAAAGTTTACCGATGTTAAAATCTCGTAAACCGATTAGGAAAAGACAAATCAATGTAACAAACATAAACTGAGGGAATCGCATGAACACCAATTATAAGCGAGACGAGATGCGTTGACAGGGTAAGCGTCTCTGATGTTCAGTAGTTATCTTACATAGTTGCTTCTTACCATTTAACCGAGCTTTTAACGGGATTTTCTGTTTCTGACAGTCTAGTATATGGAAATTCGTGGCGCGGTATTTTATTTTCCATTTTTACATAATCTCAAAAGCTTTAATAGGTCTCGTTTAAACAATTTTAAAAGTGTTCCTATAGCAATGAACTTGAAGAGTAAATTAATATAGATTTGAAAGGGTTTTGTTAAAATATACTTTTTCACTTTTTTGGTCTTTTGGAAAATGTTGTTTGTGCTGTATTTAGACCCCTCTTCCAAGAAATTTGTTTTGCATGCACTCGTATAAACATTGCGATTTTTATCCAACGAAATCATAGGTTTGAACGTTGTTTTCAATTTAGACTTGTTTATATTTTTTCATTTGGGCTTGTATTATATTTGCCTTCGGGTTTACATGATCCGTTCATCTTATTTCGACTCTTCAAAATTCAAGAGTCTATCCTAAATTGAGGTAAATTATATGGCCTTCCAAATACCGTTTTCGATTCCTAACATCACTGAAGAGACATTAATTGTCGAAATCCGGATATGGTGTACTAAATTTTTCACCTTTTGTTTACGGTATACCATCTTTTCCGAAAGTGTATTTTAACAAAACGCATTTGACTAACAGATCGAACAACAAATGTTCTTAAACCCTGCTGACTGCCATTGGCGATTGCCAAATCAACGGATCACAGTTGTAACAAAATGGATCTTAATTATTAATTTAATACCTAACAAAAAATAATAAACTTGCGGAAATGATGGTATACCGCAAACAAAAGGTGCAAAAAATTTGTACACCATATCCGGATTTCGACAAGTAATGCTTACCTTTCCAGAGCACCTCAGATCACCCCTAGTTTTTGGTGGGGTTGATCAGACTTTATTTACTATGTTGTGTTTTGTTTACTGTTGTTTGTCTTTTGGTTGTTTTTGTTTTTTGCCGTGTCATTGTCTGTTTGTTTTCGACTTAAGAGTTTAAATATACAGGATACATTATCTTAGGTTTTTATGAATGTGTGTTGTTATTTTTTGTATACAGGCTGTAACCTTAAACAAAGCGGTGGACAGCTTTGGATATTTGGTGGAGAATTTGCAAGTCCAACACAATCACAATTTTACCATTACAAAGAATTATGGGTCTTTCATTTGAAAGATAAGAGATGGGAAAAAATTCGGTATGTATATGATTAATGTATTTTGGTTATGAATAAAACAGTGTCAGTAATGAAAATGCTCCAATTAAACATGAAAATACTGCTCATACAAATTAAAGCAGCTAGAACAAAACTATTGTTAAGGGGGAGATAATTTATAAAAAAATTTAAGATTTAAGATACATTGTATGCTAGTTATTATTATGTTTTTTATGCATACTATCAGTTACCAATTACTGTCACCTTGCATTTAATGCAAACACAAAAGCTATAGAAAATTTGACATGCTGCTGTTTTTTTTAGATAATTACTTCATATGTATAAATTATATTTTGTTTGATCCAAATAAGACAGGTAAATGCCAAGTTTTCTGTTATTTGGCATGTCCTGGGAAGATATGTATGCTGGGACATGATGTAATCAGTTTATGACATTCTCAATTTTTAGAAGTTTGAAGTAACTTTCTGTTTTCAGGCAAATCAATGTCTAAAAAAATATAAGGAGATGTAGTATGCTTTCTTTAGAATACTAATTTCTTTCTGAAAATTTTTAGAAGATTAATAAATTTTGAAATCTAAACTCTATGCTCCTATTTATTACAGAAATAGAAGAAGGAATAACACTTTCATACTTTTTGTTTCTTTTAAAAAGAGTTAAATTCTTAGTTGATGGTGCTAAAAGTATGATTTGTAACTCCAAACAGATTTCCGGTTGTACAGTATTCAAGAAAAATTGAACTTCTGACAATACTTTGTAACTGGTACTAGACAAGTTACACCTTTCATGTTCATGAATATAAATAAAACTTGAAATAAGCACCTTAATTTTAGAATTTTATTTGGATTTCAGTGTCCCTGGATCACCATCCAGCAGAAGTGGTCACAGAATGGTTATTTGTAAGAAACAGCTGATTGTGTTTGGAGGTTTCCATGACAACATTAGGTTTGTTAATCATGAATATAACTGGTTGTCTTGAGTATATAAAAATGGTTATCCCTTGGACCATCAAACAGTAAAACTGTTGCTAGAATGGGCATCTGTTGGGTTGTACAGGATGTATAAATACACAGCTATGTCTGGTTGCAATGGGGACATTAAATCTGATGCCATTTGTAGGGAGAGTGACATGCTCTCTACACATTAAAGAATCTTTGTAACAACTCTCTGAGAAGTCTTTACATGGCCTGTTGCAAGGCAAAATTTTCTGCGCCTATCCAACATACTTTCATTTTCCTATCGGCCTAGCCACAATCAGATGTACATTTTGTGTTTCACATGAAGTCAAAAATGAAGATCACATCAGGAAAAAACCCTTTTGATTTTTTGGTACAGAAATGGTTTAAATTATGAAAAATAGCCGTCATAAGGCTAACACTTGAAGCATTTATATAATTACATGCAGTTTTTGGAAGAAATATTCAATATTTTTATTAAATACCAGGTGTTTAAAAACTGTCTAATTTTCTTTAATGGTTGCCTTCAAGACATGGTCACCAGTTTCAGATTTTTGGCCAATGACAGAGACAAAAAAATATGTTTAGAATTATTGAATATCAAACATTTCAATCGAAAAAAAATGAACATGTTTAACTGTGTTAATGTGTTCTCTTATAAAAATAATATACATTTTATCTACAAATGATGCTGAACCTCAAGGAAATTGGGAACAAATACATTGTGATAATGTCTACAGACAAGACATTTTTTCACTTTTTTTGTATATCCAACTTTGATGGCATATATCTCCAGCTAGGGTACTGCAATATTGATATAGGAGGTAGTTGTTGATGATTTATATACAAGAAGAGAAAACAAAACACATACTAGCATAAATTTCATTTATTTTTCTCTTTTATCACTACACTGTACAAGGTAAAAACAAAAATACAAAATTGCATAACGAACGCATAGTATTCAACTTTTTATCATAACTTTGTAACCACTAAAGATTTTTCGTTGCAACAACCGGCAAAAGAAACATGAATAAATTGTCTATAACAGTAAACTAATAATGTAGTTCAAATTATGTTCACTTATTAACTATCAATTGATAAAAACAGTGTAATTTTAAATGAAACACCATAACGTGAAATTTTGCCCATTTTTAGCGTGTATTTTAGTGTTTTTTTCAAAACGGTCACACATATACATGATATTTGATATGCATTGTGAAGCCCTATATTCTCTTCTTCAGTTCAAAGATGTAATACTTAAATTAAGTTCATCTTCTTGTCTATAGAAGCCTATATAAACATAGACCTAATATGAAATGTACATTTGATTGTGGCTAGGCCGTATGGTCGTCCAAATTGTGTGCCATTAATGCCAGTTGACCTATTTACCCTGCAGAACCTTTATTTGTATTTATTGTTAGTTTGTTCTCATTGTGAATATAAATTATTTGTCACTGAACATTAGACAAACAAAAATCTCTCAAAATTTATCTACAATTCTATTAGATCTCATTTAAAGAGTACATAAACATAAGAATTTTCAAAAATCTGAATCATTCAAAAATTTTATACAAATTTAAGCTTAGTTAAAATGCCATGATTGATATTTAAATTTCAATTATTTTTCTTTTATGAACTTTTCATTTTTATTTACAGGGATTACAAATATTTTAATGATGCATTTGCATTTAATTTTGAAACATACTCATGGGATAAGCTTGAGATAACAGGTAATCCACCAGCCCCACGGTCAGGATTTATGATGGGGGTGTTCCAAGATATCCCTAAAGCAGTGGTGTATGGAGGCTACAGCAAAGAGAGAATTAAGAAAGATGTTGATAAAGGAACAATACATACTGATATGTTTATATTGTGTGCCTGTGATGGTTTGTACATTCTCTGTAATTCTTTTATACAAAAACTTAACTATATTATGAATTTCCCATTTATTTTGCTTAATTTTCCATCAAGAAAGATCTAGAGGTTACTGTTCTGCCAGATTTATATTTTTATGCCCCAACCGTAGCGGAGGCATATACACAACGTATACACAATGCTTATTACCACATAATACAGATTAAGTTCGAAATTTGGTGGCGTCACATTTACTGTTCTTCAGTTATGTCCCTTTATAACTTTATATGATATGCAAGCGGGTGCATACAATTCTTGAGTTATGCCTCTTTATAAAAATAAAAACTGCTGAATTTTTTGTTTCCGTTCTCTAACTTTAGTTTGCCACAACCAAATGTTATGAAACTTATACACAATGCTTATAACCACATAATACAGATCAAGTATGAAATTGGGTGGCATCACTTGTACCTTTCTTGAGTTATGCCCCTTTATAAACATAAAATTTGCTGAATTTTTCGTTTTCGTTCTCTAACTTTAGTTTGCCTCAACCAAATGTTATGAAACTTATACACAATGCTAATTACCACAAAATACAGATCAAGTTTGAATTTTGGTGGTGTCACTTTTAACGTTCAAGAGTTATGCCTGTTTACAAATGGAAAAATTGCTGAATTTTTAGTTTCTGTTCTCTAAAGTTAACCTCAACCAAATGTTATGAGACTTATACACAATACTTATTACCACAAAACACAGATCAAGCTTGAAATTGGGTGGCGTCACTATTACCGTTCTTGAGTAATGCCCCTTTATAAATGGAAAAATTGCTAAATCTGTCGTTTCCGTTATCTAACTTTAGTTTGCCTCAACCAAATGTTATGAAACTTATACACAATGCTTATAATCACAAAACGGTCTTAACTACGTGAATCCTGCATCTGTATGTAGAAATTGACTCATGCATATTTACAAGCTGGTGCATTTGTGGCCCATAGACACAATCTCCATTTATTTTCTGAAGAATGAACACCAATTTAGATAAAAAATTAATCATTTATTATTTTCATTTTTGTTGTTGTTGAGAAAGTGCATTTCCAATGCCTCTTTCTGGAAATTATTAAGCCAATTATTATTAATGGCATATAAAAAAATATACTACTTGTTTGACGATTCCCTTTCCATCCTTGTTAAAATCATTAAATTGCAAATATTTATAAAAAAAAAGAAGATGTTTAAAAAAACTGACAGTGTCTAAAATTGAAATATCAAAATAATTTGCATCAATATTGCGAAATTCTCCATCTTTGGGCAATAGCATAGAAATTTTACAGTTAGATTATGGAAATGAAAAGAACAAAAAAAAATAATAAAGAAAGAAGTATGGTCATAGAAATATCAGACTAGCTATAAAATCGGCTGGATCACAATCTTGACGATGCTTTGATTTCTTTATCCATTGGTTAATCTTGTATTTTCTGTCAGCCAACTGTTTTTGTTGAGCCTGCAACATTTATGTCACGGAAGGGAGACATAGGGATCCTAGATTCAGATGTTGGCATTATCAACATTTAAGTTTAATCTGTTGTTAAAGTTTTTCAAGACTTCAATAACTTGGTCAGTCTGTATTGAAATTTTATGAAATTACGACAGAAGCTTTTTTATGACCAATGACAGTATCCAGAGCAAAATTGTTAAAATATTTAATTTCATTTTTCCGTTTTTTTAGCTCACCGGGGCCCGAAGGGCCCCATGTGAGCTTATGCCATCACTTGGCTCCGTCGTCGTCGTCTGTTGTCGTCTGTCGTAAATTATTTCAAAAATCTTCTCTGAAACTACTGGGCCAAATACCTTCAAACTTTAACTAAATGTTTCTTAGGGTGTCTAGTTTATAAATTGTATCGTAATTTTTGATCCATCGACAAAAATGGCCGCCATGGCTAAAAATAAAACATAGGGGTCAAATGCAGTTTTTGGGTTATATCTCAAAAACTAAAGCTTTTAGAGCAAATCTGACATAGGGTGAAATTGTTCAATTGGCCATGATCTATCAGCTCTGAAATTTTCAGACGAATCGAACAACCCATTGTTGGGTTGCTGCCACCGAATTGGTAGTTTTAACAAAATTTTGCAGTTTTTGTCGAGCCTGCGACTTTTGTCGCAGAAAGCTCAACATAGGGATAGTGATCCGGCGGCGGCAACGGCGGCGGCGGCGGCGTTAGCTAACTTCTTAAAAGCATTATATTTAAGAAGGTGGAAGATCTGGATGCTTCATACTTTGTATATGGATGCCTCATGTTACGAAGTTTCAGTCAGTCACATGTCCAATGTCCTTGACATCATTTTCATGGTTCAGTGACTACTTGAAAAAAAAAGTTAACATTTTTTGTAATGTTAAATTCTCTCTTATCATAAGTAATAGGATAACTATATTTGGTATGTGCGTACCTTGCAAGGTCCTCATGCCCGTCAGACAGTTTTCACTTGACCTCGACCTCATTTCATGGATCAGTGAACAAGGTTAAGTTTTGGTGGTCAAGTCTATATCTCAGATACTATAAGCAATAGGTCTAGTATATTCGGTGTATGGAAAGACTGTAAGGTGTACATGTCCAACTGGCAGGTGCCATCTGACCATGACCTCATTTTCATGGTTCAGTGGTTATAGTTAAGGTTTTGTGTTTTGGTCTGTTTTTCTTATACTGTATACAATAGGTCTACTATATTTGGTGTATGGAATGATTGTAAGGTGTACATGTCTAGCAGGTAAATGTCATCTGACCTTGACCTCATTTTCATGGTTCAGTGGTCAAAGTTAAGTTTTTGAATTTTGGTCTTTTTTTCCTCTAATACTATATGCAATAGTTCAACTATATTTGGTGTATGGAAATATTTTATGATCTATATGCCAGTCACACAGGTTTTATTTGACCTTGACCTCATTTTCAAGGTTCATTGCTCAGTGTTAAATTTTTGTGTTTTGGTCTGTTTTTCTTAAACTATAAGCAATAGGTCAACTATATTTGTTGTATGGAAGAATTATTGGCTGTACATGCCTGGCTAGCATGGTTCATCTGACCTTGACCTAATTTCCATGGTTCATTGGTCAATGTTTAGTCTACTTGGTTAATGTTAAGTTTAAGTGACAATTGTAATAAAGCTTTATATTTAGGACTATCAACATAATATCAATGATTAGTAAAGAAGGCGAGACATTTCAGCGTGTGCACTCTTGTTTGTTATTATTTTGAATATTATTATAGATATATATAAACTGTAAGCAGCAATAATGTTCAGCAAAGTAAGATCTACAAAAAAGTTAATATGACCATAATTGTCAATTGACCCCTTAAGGAGTTATTGCCCTTTAAAGACAATTTTACACAATTTGTTCATCAAGTTTGCTAACATTTAAAAATCTTCTCCTCTGAAACTACTGGGCCAATTACCTTCAAACTTTAACTAAATGTTCCTTAGGGTATCTTGTTTATAAATTGTATCTATCGACAAACATGGCCGCCATGGCTAAAAATAGAACATAAGGGTCAAATGCAGTTTTTGGCTTATATCTCAAAAACTAAATCTTTTAGAGCAAATGTTACCAGGTAAATATGTTTAATTGGTCAAGATCTATCTGCCTTGAAATATTCAGACAAATCCAACAACCCATTGTTGGGTTGCTGCCACCGAATTGGTAGTTTTAACAAAAATTTGGCAGTTTTTTGTTATTATTTTGAATATTATTATAGATATATATAAACTGTAAGCAGCAATAATGTTCAGCAAAGTAAGATCTACAAAAAAGTTAATATGACCATAATTGTCAATTGACTCCTTAAGGAGTTATTGCCCTTTAAAGACAATTTTACACAATTTGTTCATCAAGTTTGCTAACATTTAAAAATCTTCTCCTCTGAAATACAGGTGAGCGATTCAGGCTCTTGAAAGCCTCTTGTTATGATAAATGGACTTAGTTTTTTGCAGTTAACAAGTAGATACAGTACGGGGTTAAAGTTTATTACACATCAATTACTTTATCAAACCATCATAGCATTTTATGAAACTTTTTGGTAGAAGCTTTTTTATGATAAAGGGCTGTTCTAAAATTGATTTTGTTGGGGGTTGGGAGGCACACAAATTAATAAGTTATGGGTGGTTTTATTTTCTTTTTGGTAAGAGTTTTAAGTAAAATTAAAAATTATGTATTATGGGTGGTTGAGGTCTAATAAAAATGCCTTGTATGCCTTTAATTCTTGAAAAGCCCTAAGAGATAATGTCTAAAGCAAAATTTTGAAAATATTTTTTTCATTTTACATTTTTTTTTGTAGTTAACATTTACACCCACCCTGGGATTACATTTTTTTGACCTGATGAATTTATAATCCTTCATGGATTGTTATGAAACTTGGACAGAAACTAATCTTCAAGATCAAGAAATTGCATCTACGGAATGTTTTTTTTATTTTACTGCTAAATGAACATATTTTTACAGTCAACATTACACTTTTACACTGACAGCAGCAATCACAGGGGAGACACAGGGTTTAGCGTAACCCCTTTCTGGAATTGGTTTCTGTTCTCTAACTTTAGTTTGCCTCCACTAAATGTTATGAAACTTATACACAATGCTTATTACCACCAAACTCAGGTAAATTTCGAATTTTGTTAGCGTCACTGTCATTGTTCTCTAGTTATGTCCCTTAATAAGATGAAAAAATGCTGAATTGGCTGTTTCTGCACTCTAACTTTACTTTGCCACTTCCAAATTTTCTGAAACTTATACACACTGCTTATTACCACCAAACACAGCACAAGTTTTAATTAGGGTTGTGTCACTTTTTCCGTTCTCGAGTTACCCATTACTGTTTGTTATTGAACAATGAGAGCACTCAAACCTAGAGCAATCTCTAATGACAACATACAAAAAAAAATGTCATTAAGTTTCACTATGAAAACTTTTGTCAATTTTGTTTTTGTTTTTGTATCTATGAAAGGGAAAGATTTTATGTTTGGGGTGGAGTTTGATAATTTATGAGTTGTAGTGTGTAAGCAATTTAACATCTGTCATTTAGTTACTTCTGATAGCTTGAAATTTAACAACTTTAATTGCATGAGGGAAATAAATTTTCTTCAAAGTTTCTTGGCTTCAATGAAAGGGAATGATTTATATTTGACATCGTTTTATAAATCATCTTCTTCAGTTATGCTTCAGTACATATTTTTCATCTGTCTATTGCAAGCAGCCAGAAAGGTCCAAGGTTTTGTTATTTTTTCTGTTGTTGGGTTGCTATTCTAAAATATACGATACATCACCTCTCTGGTTTGTTTGCAAACAACTTGCAAATTGTAACTTGGATGGAGAGTTGTCTCATTGGCACTCATACCACATCTTCCTATATCTATTATATTATGGTAAATATCAGGTGGGGAAAAGTACCTGTTTTGTGTATTTCAATCCTAAATTGTCAATCCAGAGCTTTCAAAATATCTAGAATATTTGATATTCATTGAAAAAGTTGTACTCACCACTTTGTGTAGACACTTGGATAACTTATGGACATTTTCCAGATGATGAAACTTGAAAACTGTCTCACAAACATTGTTATCCCTTTTTTTTCCCACTAATCATGTGACTGTTAGGAGAGTTCATGTGACACTAAAATGAGAAAAAAAAGTTCTTTTTATAAAATGTCTTGCACTTACCCTATATGTCGCTCTATAAGGGGGGACCCACTGGGCTTCTGCCCCCACCCACCCCCCCCCCCCCCCCCCCAAAAAAAAATCCGCCTCTTATATCTATATTAATAAAGTTTTGTTTAACAAGAATGATGCATTAATATTGAACCACCCATCTTAATTGTTTTATCAGGAAGAAGATGAAGAGCAGTTAGAAGGCAGGTTTTATAATGATATGTATATGTTGGATATGGAAAAGGGAAAATGGTTCAATATGGCACCAAGGTAGGTGATGTTATGTAGTGTTAGGCAGGTTTTATAATGATATGTATATGTTGGATATGGAAAATGGAAAATGGTTCAATATGGCACCAAGGTAGGTGATGTTATGTAGTGTTAGGCAGGTTTTATAATAATATGTATATGTTGGATATGGAAAAGGGAAAATGGTTCAATATGGCACCAAGGTAGGTGATGTTATGTAGTGTTAGGCAGGTTTTATAATAATATGTATATGTTGGATATGGAAAAGGGAAAATGGTTCAATATGGCACCAAGGTAGGTGATGTAGTGTTTGACTTGAAATTGATTGATAATTCTTTCACATTCAAATAGTTATTTACTAAGTAAGACAACATTCCAAGAATGTGTTTAGACTGGTCAATTTGAAATGAAAATAATGCAACTTTTATTTACATCTTGAATTTTTTATCAAATCATTGTAGGGAATAAAATGATTTTATGATTATTAATATACCCCAAATCTGAGTGTGGTTGATATATTGCTAACCCCTTGTCTGGTCATTCATAAATATTAATGCAGTTTTTGTTTCACCTGCAACTTGTCGCAGAAATCAAGACATAGGGATTGTTTTTCCGACGACGATGACAATGTTGGCATCAACAATTGTTTAGTTTTCTGCTTAAGTTAGTTTGATAGGAACTACTTGTGATAGATCAATGATATTTTCTATAAAGTTGCATTAGTGTTACTATCAGTACCTATCAGTTTGACTACTATTTTGAGGCTCTGATTCCTAGGTCATGGTCTAGTGATATTGAATTAATTAGCAATTTTCAATGTTAAGTTTTCTGCTTAAGTTAGATTGATAGGAACTACTTACAATAGACAACGATATTTTCTGTAAAGTAACATTACTATCTGAACATCTCATTTTGTCGACCATTTTCAGGCCTGCCCACTAGATCATGGTCCAGCGACTTTGAATTAATAAGCAATGTTGCTGTTCATCAGATTGTCTTTTTCTGATTTTTATGCAGACAGGCAAGACATATCTCTGTATCAACAGTTTATTGTATAAAGGAATGATTTAATATTTTGTCTGGGACTGTATAATGTTGAGTTACACTATGTATATCAGCCTGGCAGATATTTGAATTGTTATTAACCTGCTAAACATGAAATATTTTGTGAATTTCTAATAATCAATGAGTGGTGATATACTTTTCATAATATCAGATGCAACTTCTTGTTTGTTTCTAACATTCAGTAATAAACATTGTTTACATGGAAAAATTCTGTGCTTTTATCTCTTTGTTTTTCAGTATACATTCAGAAAAAAAGAATTTTTGCATTACTGCCAATGATATTCTAACTCATTATTTAATCATGTTATTCTTATTAAAACAACACTATTTGATATAAATGGACCATTAGTGTTTTTAGAGGAACGATATGTATCATTCCTTTAAAGAGCACATTACATGATAAAGTTTCTTTCTATATGTAATGGTATATGTCCTTTGAATTGAATATTGAAAGTATTGTGAGGACTCTGATTCCTCAAACGATGAAGGCAAAACAAAGAAAAGTGAGGACATGGAAGGTTGGTTATCAAATAAGACGGATCCAATCAAATTGAGAATTTACTTTTTTCACATGTGTTAATTATATGTTAGTTTTTGTCTTCTTCTTTTTTTAAAGCCAAATGAAAGCATAAATAAGTTATGACTTTACAGCCTTGCCTTCCAAAAAATTATATCTTGTATCATTTTGGCAAAGGCATTTTGCACAGCAGAAACAAGGATTTTACTTACTAAAAACTTTTGTTGTCCAAGTAAAGGGCAACGATTATAACAGGAGTTATTGCCTATATTGCTATAAAGGTCTAAACATTAGTCTGGTTTCAAACTAAAAGTAAGTGAATGAATATAAAAATAAAGAGGTCATGTTAATTTATCTGTAGAATTTTTCCATTCAAATTTTAGTTTTCCAGATAATAGCCAAAAACAACACTATTTGATATAAATGGACCATCAAGGGTTCTGCTAATTGTTGAAGGCTATATGACAACCTATAGTTGCTTATATGCAAGTTATTTGGTGGATAGTTTTCTCATTGGCAATTCTTTCATATTTTCTGCTTTGAAAGTGCTTGATTGACTATTTAAACTCTGGAAGATCATGTCAGACACATTGTAAAGATAGATACCTTTTTATTGTAGATAAACAAATGTTAACCTTTATAAGTCTTTTGTTTTTGTCCATATGTTGTTGTTTCATTGACATATCCCACATCTCAAATGAAAGCCATAAACAAAGTTTGGTAACTCAATATACACATATGAACCAAATCATTACATATTGTGGATTCATTTATTTTCATGGATAACAATTTTCGTGGATAAAGGAAACATAGTATTTTCATTGAAATTAGATTTCGTGGTCCTTACAAAAGTCTGCATAAGCCTATAGAAAATTTGTACTTCGTTGAATATTTAAATTTGAGGTTCACCTGTACCAACGAAATCCACGAAAATTGGTATCTCATGAATAATAATGAATCCACAGTATCATTTGAAAAGACTCATGTTTATCAATATTGAAAGTCAATTAATAATAATTTTATGCTCTATTGTAGTGTCAGATGATGATGACGACGATGATGATGATGACTTAGACGACATATTGGAAGTATGTGACGTTCCCGTGAAGACTGAAGATGAGCCTGTAAATGATTACTTTGAACGGACTAAAGAGTTCTGGCTTGAGCAGTCAGAAAAATACTTTAAAAGTGAAGATATGAGTGTTTCCAAAAGAACTATACAAAAATTTGCTAAAGAAATGTGTACTGAATATAATAAAAAATGAAAATTCCTTCACGAATTTTTTATATATATATATATGTATATTTAGAAGCAATGGATGGTTTAAAATAAAGCTAGAGTTCGAATGATCCTGGTTGACCATTTTTGGAAAATGACGCTATCAGCGGCATGTTTCCGATACCATTGACCAGAACTTACGGAAGTCGATTATTGCCTCCGCCTACCGCACTCGGTTTCATATTTACTATTTTACATACTAACTGGAATCTGCTTATAATACGCTACACTCGAAAAAAGTGTTGTAGTCGGACAGGAACAAGTTTACATACTTTATTTTATTTACCAAAAAGATATCTTGACCTGTCCATATGTTTTTTGTTATTAAATGGTATTTGGAGCTATCCCTTTGTTATATTTTTCATATTTATTCGAGCTTTCACTTTTATGCACATGTCTTACAATCGTAAACAATCAGTATGTTTACATGATAAATAGATCCGTTTTGTTATGGTGTTGGACTTTTTACCCTCCAATGATCAACAATCGCTAGACAAAATAGTTCTAAATAATGTCAGCCTTTCATGCCATTTCAACTTTACAATCATTAAAAAAAGTGAAAATCGGAATCATTTTGATATCCATTGGATAAAAACTGGTCTTTATCCAGATTTACGAAGATTTTAAATATCGGAAATTAGTAATACGGTTATACCCACGCGGTGCGTATGAATCTGTGTTTACAAAACGTCTCTATAGTTTTAGATCGTAAGTCACGATAAACTCAAACTGAAAGTAAACAGTTGTTTGTAAGACGCAGGTTTACTCACCATAAACAAGCTGAAACGTTCAGTATGGCATATATTTTAGGTTAAAGACGGTCCCATTCATTTAAAAAGCATTTTGAAAGTAGACGATGGGATTATTTCAGGTTTAACGAGTAAATTATCACAAAGTTCATTTCTTGACGACCTCATAATTTCATCATGTCGATGGTACAAATCGATTTTTACTGTTTACTGTCGCTTCTCATGTTTTGTATTTAAACGGTCGTTTATTTTTAAACCCGAACCAGGCATATGCATTCTGTAATTGTGCAAATCTTCGTTCTTTGGTCAATTGGCTTATGGATAGTTGTATCAATTTCAACTCTTGCATTATTTTTTTTTTAAATATATTTACATTACACATGCAATGGCAGTACCTTTCCAATTACTATTTATGTGTTGTGTCTAAATTAAAGTTGTAACACTTTATAGTGACTGGAAAGGATAGAAAAATTCATCAGATGAGAAAAGGCCGAAGATACTTCAAACGGCACCGAATCATTAAATATTGCATCTTATAAAAAGAAACTGAAATTTGGATAGTTCCACTTCAAGGTAAAAATGTTTATCTCTTATGAAATGAAATAAAAAAAATATTGTAACACTGTAGTTAATATACTATATAATAAAATATTAATTTTCGCGAACCATTTAGGTCACAGAAATTCCAAAAAATGGCATCAGTAAGGAGAGTTGTACAAATGATGTGAATACACAGAACCCGGATCCAAATTATATTTTACTAAAAGTATTCATCATTTTCTGTTTTGTATGTACTAACAACATTTCATTTTTCTACAAGTTCGATTAAAATATTATAAAACCTGCAGTTCAATAGGTCACATGCCCCAAATAAACATTCCCCGATTGGTCGAACTACTGTGGCCTCGGTGTAAAGCAACTCAAGCCTCGATGTAAAGATCACGCTTCCAAAAATAGAGGTATGTCCCAACTTAACATTCCCCGATTGGTTGAATTGCTGCTCGATGTAAAGCAACGGAAGCCTTGATGCAATGAAGAAAAGGGGTTGACAGGATAAACGTAATCGTTATAAATTTTAACTTCATGGTTCTTATGCAGGCAAATTTAATAAACAATGATTTTATACAGTTGTGCTATTGTTTTCATCTTACATAGGGCTTTATTTCTGATCTTATTTCTGTGTACACAATTCTGAATCTACATATTTCACCTTTATCAATATTAGGTAATCCGTTTGGACGATTCCATATACTAATATGTTTTAGGGTTTTTTAGCTTCAGTGTCGAGTTAGTGTATAGTATTGAGGGCTATCTGCGAGAAATAAATCTT